GGGGGGGGCAAAATCACTAGCGTATTTGTCCGGGGAGGACTAAATCTGCTGCGAATACCAACCTGAGGTTAGCACTCCATTCGCAGCACTCCATTCAACACTCGATTTGACTTGGTGCGTACTTTTTCGTAGAAGGCTGCAGCTAACTTCAGGTTGGTCTGCGAATAGATGGTGAGGTACAGCGACGAAAACAGAAATCACAACTGACCGCGATACTTCTTTTGGAGGTCACTGACAGAGGAGTTACATAGCAGGTCTTAATGTTACAAACATGAATGGGAAATACAGTATAGTTTTTTTTATCCTGCTAATGAAGTTGTTTGTTTTTATATAGGGCACATGTTAAAGGTCTGAAGTACGTGCGGCCTAGAAGTCCTAAAGTTGGCGTTGTGGATGACTCGATTATTCTCTCCGAACTCCCTGCGATGAACCGTGCCGTTGGCCCTGTGCATGTTCTGGAGAACCCATACGTCATCGAAGATACGTAATAACCACTTTTTAAGAGTGGTTATTACAGCCTTAACACTAGCTTTCTTGATACGGATTTTTTTAACGGAGTGGTTCAATGCAAGCACTATACAACCACTTCTCGGCGTTGAACTAGAAAGATGAGAGAAACAAGGCTATGTCAAGAGATGGCGGTGAACGTTTAATTTGAAAGCTTGTAGACTGTAGATTTGTTACATATCAGTTTAAGTACTGGTAGGAAAAGTCTAGTTGGTGAGAATTGGGACGATTAAGGGATCATTCCTCTGTACATTGTACCAACAATAACCGAAGCGGAATCAATATAGGTTGTGTAATTTTAGCTTGAAAGGTAGATGTGAAAACTAGATTATTAGAATTTTATGACAAAGGCTGTCAATGTTTGATGCTATGCTGGTGATATATATATATCCATGCAGTTTCTTTATTAATTTAGCTCGAACATGTATTTCTCTTGCATTATTTCAGTTTAAGTTGACTGCTAAATCTTGAGTGCATGTGTATGCCACACATGTCATGTATAAATGCTTTATCGCTTATGCTTCCAATTAGAAATTTATAAAATGTAACGTTTTGCTGGCTGCTAAAGAGTGTTCCGCTTGCTGCAAGAACTGGTACTGGGTATAACTCTATTTTCAGACTACTTCTTTGGTCATTACATGGTCTGGTTACATTAATCAATTTGAATACGTTTATTGTTCAGACGAATGTAAAGAAATATTTAAATATGTACTACTTACCACCATCATTCCATCACCAATTCAACTTAAAAATGTTTCTTACCATTTGAATATTATTTGTGTATACTTGTAAATGCTGTATTCATATTGTATGTCATTTTACTCTAGATGTTGTGTTGTGTTGTGTTGTGTTGTGTTGTGTTGTGATATGTGAACAGAGGAATGAACTTACACAAATAATGAAATAAATCAGCCTTCGGTTTAATTCAGTGTTACTTGTAATTACACCATTCCTATAAAGGGAACCCACAAACTCAAAACATTAATACACTTCACTCAGGTACCTGAAATGTAATTACCGGTCAGCGGTATAGAGGATCTCTGCTGTAGACCAGTAACATTCGGGAATCCATGTTGATAAAATTATATACCCAATGCCTAAGGGAAAACACTTCATAATAATAATGATAATCTTTATAATAATTCATAAGTCTTTATACCTGGACTAGAATTGAATTTCTATTTCAGAAGGCTCCATTTGCCATTGGTTATCAGGCCGTAACCTAAAAAGCGGTCAGTAATTACTAGTAAAATAACTCACCGGCTTTTGGACCATTATACAGGGTTGTTGTCACCTGTTTTCCTAACGCATCTCAGTTGCTATTGGAGCCTGCCAGGAAAGAGACAGAGAGAGACAGGGCGCTGCATGGCTATCAGATACTGATCATTACGGTTAGATATACAAACACCATCATCATATAGCCATACGAAGTAGATAAATCAGATGGCTCCATTTCCCATGGGTTGTCAGGTCGTAACCTTAAAAGTAACTGACCACTTTTTAGACCATACCATTATACAGAGGACAGCACACCAACAGTAGTGTTAAGACCTGTATTATAAATCTATAAAAACGTATTGTAGTTTATTTTTTAACAATTTACTTGAACACAATGAAAAAGATATTCCTACATGACATTTAAACAGGAAAACACTCAACATAATTATTGACACCCCTACTAAAAGTGGTGCTGTTTCAATGTCATATGGTCCCCTCAGACTATCTGTTTTTCTGTCAATATGCTACGTTCAATTGGTAGTTTATTCGTTGGTTATCGCACCGACCAGGGATTATCTGACCATGCACATCTCGGGTTTTTAGGCTTATAGCGAGAGAAAAAAAACAACAACAGAGATTTGGAGTCATGCCACTGTCAGTGTGTCGAGTGATAGACCACCAGATTTACCACCAGATTGATATGCATCACCGCAGTGTATAATAATGTTTGAGGTAATAATAAGGTAATGTGCTTTCAAAATAATGTTACTTTGTCGAAAAAAAGTCAAGCCAACAACATTGTCTGAAATATGAATATGTATGAAAAACCTACCTCACTAGTGATCTCCGGAGTCTTGAGGCGGAAGTCATCTTGCCCTGCGTAGACCTGTCCAGTGTTGTCCACGTGAGCCAAGGCGTGGACCTTCACGATCGTCGAACGACTGTTCTAGAACATGTGGTAGAACAGAATTGTTGGTCACCGTGGTGACGTTCGAACACGGCACATTCGGTACGGAGCTTCGTTCCCAAAACAGAGGTCATCACACAGGAACCGTCCAGTCCAAACATGCGGTCCGCTGCGTGGGTTGGTTACTGGGAGTGGTTCTTTTGAACACGCAAGGTGAGAATACAGTTCATCACGTTCTGATGTGGTCGCGTGTAGCCTGTGTTTGTCGGGAGGGTCGCTAGGAGCGCTTATTAGCCACCGAAGCTTGTTAGGCTATGGCCGCTTGAGGTGAAGCATGCTAGTCGGGTAATGCCATATAGCGACCCTCTATCTCATTAATTCACTAAAAGGAAAATTTTACTCTCTATCTAGTGAATTAATGAGATAGCGACCCTCTATCTCATTAATTAACTAGAAGAAGAATTTTTGTTCTCTATCTAGTAAATTAATGAGATAGCGTCCCTTTATCTCATTAATTGACTAGAAGTAGAATTTTGTTCTCTATTTAGTGAATTAATGAGATAGCGACCCTCTATCTTATTAAATCACTACAATGAGAATTTTGTTCTCTGTTTAGTGAATTAATGAGATAGCGACCCTCTATCTTATTAAATCACTACAATGAGAATTTTGTTCTCTGTTTAGTGAATTAAAGAGATAGCGACCCTCTATCTTATTAAATCACTACAATGAGAATTTTGTTCTCTGTTTAGTGAATTAATGAGATAGCGACCCTCTATCTTATTAAATCACTACAATGAGAATTTTGTTCTCTGTTTAGTGAATTAAAGAGATAGCGACCCTCTATCTTATTAAATCACTACAATGAGAATTTTGTTCTCTATTTAGTGAATTAAAGAGATAGTGACCCTCTATCTTATTAAATCACTACAATGAGAATTTTGTTCTCTGTTTAGTGCATGAATGAGATAGCGACCCTCTATCTCATTAATTCACTAGAACTTAAGGAGAATCTGTATCTATCTGTATGTAGAGAAACAATGCGATACGTTTGAGACAGCCGTTATCCCGTGTGAAAGTAGTTATCACGGGTTTCGACTAAAATTGTTTTTTGAATTTAAAAAAAAATGAGATAGATAGCTGAAGCTCTGAAACCGAAAGCTCATTTATTTTATTATTTGTCTAAGTTGATTCCTCTGTTCACACATCACAACACTGCACAACATCTAGAGTAAAATGACATACAATATGAATATCAAATACAGCATTCAACGTTTAAAAGTACACACAAATAGTACTCAAATGGTAAGGAACATTTTAAGTTGAATTGGTGATGGAATGATGGTGGTAACTAGTAGATATATAAATCATTTTTTAAACATTCGTCTGAACAATAAACGTATTCATATTGATTAATGTAACCAGAAAAACATAATCGAAGAAGTAGTCTAAAAATGGAGTTATACCAGTTCTTTCAGCAAGCGGAACACTCATTAACTTTTAGTTATCCACGGAAAGCCATTTTGCTATAAAATCCCCCCATTCACCGATTTCTCTAAAGGCTCTTTTAAGAATATTTGATTCATGTATCAAACCTATTATGTTATATGGCTGTGAAATCTGGGGCAAAGAATACTTAAACGATACTAGTCCAATTGAAGTCATACATAACCGTTTCTGTAAAAACATTCTCGGTATTCACAGAAACGGCAGCAACATTGCATGTAAAGCTGAACTCGGCAGATTTCCCCTAGATATTGATGCTTCAGCCAGGGTTGTAAAGTACTGGTTACGGCTAAGAAAACTAGATTTCTGCACGCATCCTCCACAAGTGGATGCTCTATTGTCGCAACAGCATGATGTGGTAAACGAAAAATCACTCTGGTTTTCCTCAGTAGGCTGACCCAGTGAGTGAAGTGTGACGTCAACACCACCAGATACCTTTAACCCAATGTTGACGATATCATGTTGTCATATATCTATGTTAAGGTAAGTCTGACCTTGGTAAGGTCAACGACCGAACCAACAAGCCTTAACTACCGGTGGTGTGAACTACTTGTGAGAAACGGCCATGGGAGATGCTCCGATAGCCTTTATATTAAAATACGTACATCACAATACGTACTAACCTAACGTACATCACAATCTTGTCTATTAACAATGATAACATCTATAAAACTTTTTCTGTCTCTATGTGTTCTTAAGATGTGATTAACCAATCATGTTGCTAAGTAGCAGCGTCAATGCAAAAGCGACACCTATTTGATACATATAACACTGCAGTCCCTAGAATAATACTTTATATGTTAAATGGTGACTTGAAAGGCACATTTCCAGAGTACGTCATGTAAATGCATAATGTTTACGTTACTGTACGTCGCAATTTTAACAAAGGTTATCGTGAGAATAAGTATAGCCATTATATTAAAATACGTACATCACAATCCTATCTATTACCAATAATACAATCTACTCCCCTTCTTCTGTCTCTATGGATTCTTAAGATGCGACTAACCGATAATGTTGCTAAGTAGCAGCGTCAATGCAAAAGCGACACCTATTTGATACATATAGCACTGCAGTCCCTAGGATAATACATTATATATGTTTAATGGTGATTTGAAAGGCACATTTCCAGAGTGCATGTAAATGCATAATGTTTACTTTCGTACGTCGCAATTTTAACAAAGGTTATCGTGAGGATAAGTATAACACACATCATCAAAAGCAACAATACGATGGTTTAGCTCTAAGTAGCCATTTTGTAAGCAACATCTATGTTAGTTCTCACTTTCACGTTTGTTAAGGTTTGTTTAGAGTTAGATAGGTGTAACGAGTCATTCGGTGTAGCTGCCACCATGCCGCGTGCCTGCGAAGTTGTGTGTTACACACCGAGGGGCGGTAATACCGGCCGTACAGATACACATACCCAGAATGGACACTGCACTCAGATACTGTAAGATCTGCAACTTACTCAAATAAAAACATATTCCGTAATCTTAATCTTGCAGATAACCGTTTATATCATATCGTTTTTAGCTTTAGAAATATACAATATTATACACATCAACTTGATGTACAAACTGTAAGTACATGCATAAGGTGTCTATATCCTTGCTATATACCTGATAGCTCTGCAAAGAGAAGTACTATCCTTAATACACGTGGACTACTTGTATGCACAGT